AAACTTTTGATAAAATATAAAATTGTGTTCACAATGTTTAAAACATATTTGGAAGATTTATCACATAAATTTTAAGGATATTTAATTTCTTTTATAGCTAAAATAGTACTCCAATTTCCCTATAAATATCACAAGTGCCTGATCCTTAGCAGATCCTTGAACACATTATTTTCACTTTGAATTTCAAGAAATATTTTACACACACCTTGGCTTTAACAGAAAAGGACCTTCGAATGCCTTAAATCTGTTATTTAATAAATCACTTAGCACTTAATCAGAGTTTAACTCCGGGGGACGCTCGATCAAAAAACTCGACCGATCGTTAGAATTATTTGCGACAAACTAAATGTGTTGGCCGCTGGGCAGACTTTTGAGCTCTGTCGCTCTGGCTTTGGCTCTGGCTTTGGGCTGTGGCTGCGGCTGCAATTGGATCGGTACATTACCTCAATGTACCATTAACATTAGCCGGCGGCCGGGGGTGGCAGCAGCAACTCCACAGTTAACAATGGATCCAAAGAGGAATTAATTAGATGTGGAGACAACAACAACAGCAAAAGCTACAAAAAGTAAAAAGCGAACATAAAGTTCTAAATAATTTTTTTGTAAATTTCAATTCAAATGTTAATCAGCGCACAAAACTCCATCGGAGCAGAGTTGACAATGGACACACACGCACACCTCTATACAGGCAGCTTGCTTGGGTGTGTTGTAGCTGCGTGCAGGTGTGAGTGCTGTGTGCGTCGCTGTTCTGCCTCGATACAGCAAATCGTTCTGGCCCAATGTACAGGGCGCACATTGAACGCTAACCATAATGACACCTGTGGGCGTAGCAGACACAGACACATGTAGATATATACATATGTATATATACTCTATATGCTGCCAAATTCATGAACAGCATTCGGGTTCAACTACTTTCCCAGCCTGTGTGAAGGGCAAGCGCGCTGCTCCAAAAGCCAGCAGCTAAACGTTTGCTGCGCCCGCGCTTCATTGTCCGCCAGAATCGAAGCTGTATATAGCTGTATATATATATACATATATAGAGTTGATTGTAGAGTCTGAATGTGAATGTGAATGCGCTTCACGTCTGAATAAGTTCGAGGCTGGAGAGACACACCACACACACTCTCTCAACCCATCAGCGGTCATCGTCAATTGCAGAATTATTTAAATATTATGCGCTTTGCAGCTAGCACCTGTGTGGGGTGTGTGTGCCTGGTGTATATTTAAGTGGGCGCGGCTTGAGCTTTAATGAGCCAAGGGCGTGGCATGTCATGCAAATGCATTTGCAGCATTTCAAGCCCTTCCACTTAACAGTAAATTGGTTATTGTTCAATTTACTGGGCACTTTACAATGATGCTGAGTAGCTGGCAAATATTGTGGCAAAAGAGACGAAGACTTCTCTGCATTTCAATAAAATCAGTTAAACAGTTCATTAATTTAAAGTACATTTCATAGCCAACTTGTGGTAACCTTTACAGTGACTTTTAGCAGCTGTTTAATTCCCTCATCACGGTTAACTGGCGCCTTAACAACTTGTCAAGCTGCATCTTCGTCTGCCTTCTAGCACAGTGTCAAATCAGATTTTCTTCTCTCCAAATTGACTGTCCAATTGAGTTACCTGTCGAGCAACTAATCTGCATGTCAAATATTTTACCAGGCACTAGGCCAACTTCTTACATCCACTTCTAGCTGTCAATTCAAGGTGTTGGCCTTGTCATAATTGAAAATTACTTAAATGTTAGATGGAAAACTAGTACACCTGTTTTCATCGGGACTCTCCGACTGGTAGATACCACGTACATCTCGAGCTATTCTAAGATTTGATTGTAGTTAATTTTAAACAGTTGTTTTCATATGGAAAAATTCATATTTATTTTGATTGATTTATTTAATTCTTTAATACATTTCTTTAATACATATTCGCATATATAAATATATACATATATATCATATATATTTCGTAATATCCATTTGCCTCAAAGCTCTTACATGGCCTCACGCAGCAAAGCTAAAATTCTATAGCACTGCTGAAGTATCTGTAAAAGACAAACGATCCATATAATGCCGAACATATTTTTGGAGGAAAACCCAATTGACTTACAATTGAGTAGGTGGCCAGGGTAAAGGGCGGAAACGGCTTTGCCTCATAGAGCAGAGGTTTCTGCGAACGACTGATCATAAAGAGAATATTACGTTGTATGGAAATTGACTTGGTATGCCAGTCCTTCAGCTCAAAAGCAGCCTGAGCCACATACGTACTCTGATGAAGGAATACCCACTTAGAGATATATACAGAGTATAGAGTTAGGGTGAGAGCCCACCTGAGTAGAGACAAGAGTGCCAGCGATGCACCAATAGGACAACTGCACAAAGGTGACGAACATGAAGATCAGAAACTTGGCAGCTACCTTCGGATCACTTGCAGCAGCCATGGCCTCAAAGGTGGACATCGATATCAAGGCAAAGCTGGCGATCATTTGAGCTATGAAAGAGCCATGGAATAGCCGATTGTTCTTCTGGACAGTGCTGCGAAAGGGAGTTAGGAAGGCAATCTTATACTGCCTATATACTCGTTCCCAGATTCAAATTGTATCCATGATTTCCTCCAGAATTACCACCTTACCATATTAAATGCTGATGGAATTGTATGATCCTACGAAACTCGGCATGAAATTCCGAATCAGTCAACTGCAACTTGCTCAATTTTTGCATCTCCAGGCAGAGTATCTTCAGATTTAGAGCCGTGTGTAGAATGCTGTGTATGCCCAGGGCGTCAACTTGGCAGATGGACAAAAGGTTAAACTGAGAGGTGAGGGACTGCCAAATATAGATGAGCATGTGTGAGCGCGGATGCTCTACGGAGTTGTGCCAGCCAAAGGGAAACACCGCATGGTAGGGCAAATCGCGATCCGAAAACAACGGCTGAACGCAAATGGCCACGTTGAAGAGGAACATGCAGCAGGTTAGAGTAGAACATATAGTTGTTTCGACCAAGTAGCACAAGCGCTGCCAGCGCCGTATTTCCACATTCTCCGGTTCGACTTCTGCTGGCTGGAAGCCTTGAGTTGGCCTAAAGCAGCTTTCGTAATAATTTAGGCTCTCAATGACTTCATCGATCTCATTGGCTCGCCAATAGAAATACAAGTTCTTGGTCACAATCAGAGTTATCTGTGGGGGCAGAGGACGACATAGTTATGTGGCGGATAAAGTTCGTATTGGCTAAGCTAACCCCAATCATCCAGGCCATATCGTCGCCCATATCAACAACATTCGTCGACTCGTGTATGGCGAACATAATCGGCAGCAGCAGAGATGCCGAATTGAGCAAGAGCAGGCGATTGCAGCGCTTGTAGTTGCTGTGTTTGGCCAGGAGGCAGCGATTCGGATAGAGGCCCAATATGCTGGAAAATGCAACGAGTTAGTTGAAATTATTTCGTCTCGTTTTTTGGCCAACACTTTGAGCCATAATTTTGATTTAGCCATACACCAAAAACGCACGATTGTAGTTCATGGCGAGGCGTGGCGGCCGCTGCGATTTGTGCCTCAAAACCGTTCGGTATTCGCTAAAGAAGCCGCACAGCAGGCCAAGATATGACTTGAAATCCCCATTGGCCATCGTGTCTGAGCGCTATCTAACTGTGTCTAGCCACAGAACCTCTCAACGGCAATTGAGCTCGGCTCTATCTATATCTCTGCCTTATATATGTGCCAATTGATTGGCCATGCAGGATTCCAATTACAATATTTACGAGTTGGCTACGCCGTTTAGCAAACAAGACCTATGATTAGCAACATGTGCCGCAAATCGCCAATCGCAATCAGCTCTTGCATCTGAATAGCAGAAGCCTTACGCCTTAAGGAAATTGCAAGTAATTGCCCATTGCATTGAGCCACCGACAGATGCAAAAGGCTCTTCAGTTAGTTACGGCTTGTTTTAATTACTCCTATAATTGTGGGAGCAAAGTGATTAATGATGGTGGAATCAAGGTTGATGCTAGATAAGCGATCCTTAACATAGATTAAGTGCGTTTAGGGCAATTATATGTATGGCAGTTCAGTTTTAATTGGTGTCCAACTGTTATAGAAGGAGTTTTGTTTGGGTCTTAGGTCTATTGAGCGCTTAAAGCAGAGGTACAAATGGATGGATAGAACAGTCCAAACTCACGCCCATTATATCGAGATTTTCCCTAGAATAACTAGCTCA